ACTGCCACTACGACTACGACTACGACTGCTACTACTACGACTACGACTACGACTGTTACTACTACTACTACTACTACTACTACTACTACGACTACGACTACGACTACGACTACGACTGTTACTGCTACAACTACTACTACTTCTACTGTGATAATTACTACCACTCTTTCTGCGACTTCTACTGCTGCTACGACTACGGATAGTATTGTTACCACCACTACTACTACTACTACTACTACTACTACTACTACCACTACAGTCACTACTACTATTACTACGACTACAACTACTGCTACTACTACTACTACTACTCCTACGACTACTACCACTACTACTACTACTACTACTACTACTACAACTACTACTACTACTGCTACGACTATTTCTATTACTACGGCTACCCCAGCTGAGACTACGATTAGTCAGACTACTCCTATTACTACGGCTACTACTTCTACTACCACTACGACGACTACTCCGACTACTACTACTACTACTACTACGACTATTGCTACTGCTGCTACTATCACGAGTACGAGCACGAATTTGTCGATTACTACTACTCCGACTACTACTACGATTGCTACTACGACACCTGCTACTATTACTGCTACTACTTCTACAACTACTACAACTCTTACTACTACTACGACTACTACGACGACTACTCCTACTACTGCTGCTACTACTACTACTAGTCCTCCTACTACTACTACTACTACTACTTCGACCAGTACTATTACTTCCCCTACTACTACTGCTACCACTATTACTACTACTACTACTACTACTACTACTACTACTACTACTACTACTACTAGTACTATTGTTTCTACTACCACTACCACTACTACTACTACTACTACTACTACTGCTACTACGACTACTGCTTGCACTGGTAGTAGTAGTAGTAGTACTACTACTACTACTACTACTACTACTCCCACCACTCCTACTACTCCGGCTACTACTACTACCACTACGGCCACTCTTACTTATATTACTACGACCACTACTACTACTGCTACTACGACGACTGCTACGGCTAACTTTAGTACTACTATTACTTTTGCTACCACTAGATCTACTACTACGACTACTACGGCTACTACGCTACAGCTGCAACTCATGCTTTTACTTTTCATTACTACTATTACTACTGCTGCTGCTACTACTACTGCTACTTCTATGGCAATTAGTGCTATTACTACTACTACTACTACTACCACTGCTACTACTACTACTACTACCACCACTACTACTACTACTACTACCACTACTACTACTACTGCTACTACTACTACTACTACTACCACTACCACTACCACTACCACTACCACTACCACTACCACTACCACTGGCCACTGGCCACTGGCCACTGGCCACTACTACTACGACTACGACTACTACTACGACTACGACTACTACTACTACTACTACTGCTGCTGCTGCTGCTGCTGCTGCTACTACCATTATTTCTACTACTACTATTACTACTACTACTACTACTACTACTACTACTACTACTACTACTACTAGTACTACTACTACTACTACTACTGCTACTACAACAACTACTACTACTACTACTACTACTACTACTACTACTACTACTACTACTACTGCTACTACTGCTACTACCACTACCACGACCACTACCACTACCACTGGCCACTACTACTACGACTACGACTACGACTACGACTACTACTACTACTACTACTACTTCTACTACTACTACTACTACTGCTGCTACTACCACTATTACTACTACATTTACTACTACTACTACTACTACTACTACTACTACTACTACTACTACTACTGCTAGTAGTCTTACTCGTCATGCCTCTCTCATGCCGTCTTTCATCTTTCGTCTGTCCCTCCTCCTTCCTCGCGCTTTCCCTCCCGCCCTCCTTCCACCCTCCCTCCCTCCTCCCTCCCTATGTCCCTCCTTGCTCCTCCCTCCTCCCTCCCTGCTCCTTCCTCCCTCCCTCCTCCCCCTTCCACTCGCTCCCGCGTTTGCGGCGCTCCGGGAGGTGCCTCGCCCTTGAGAAGGGGAGGAGGAGCTTGCGCACGGGAGCAGCAGCACGGGAACGGCTTCGCCAGCGCATGCAGGCGGACGTCAAGCAGCGCCCCCGAGATGTGTGTGTGTGTGTGAGTGTGTGCTGTGCCGTATGCTCAAGTCGGACATGTTCCTCTACGTAGTAAACAAATAGTTTGGGGCGCTTGTTCTCTTATTTTGTTCAGCCATCCTGTGGTCTTGAGCCCCCGTTTTGAAAAGACAGCGCCCCGCGTCCCACCTCCTCCTCCTCCTCCTCCTCCTCCTCCTCCTCCTCCTCCTCCTCACCCTTCTCCCATTCCTGCCTCTGCCCTCCGCATGTCAATCATTTCGGCACCCCCTTCACGGGGTTCGCAGCCCCATAGGAGCTCCACCGAGAGCCCAGTGGCAGGCCCGCATGCGCCCGACACCCATTTCGGCACACCCTCACACGGTTCGTGGCACCACAGGGAGTTCCACCGAAGTCCCCAGTGGCAGGGTCCGCACGCGCCCGACGCCCATTTCAGCACACAAACTTCACACGGTTCGTGGCCCCACAGGGCGCTCCACCGAAGGCCCCAGTGGCAGGGTCCGCATGCGTCCGACGCCTATTTCGGCACAGTCCTCACACGGTTCGTGGTCCCATAGGGAGCTCCGCCGAGGGCCCCAGTGGCAGGGTCCGCATACGTTTGGCGCCCACTTCGGCACACCCCTCACACGGTTCGTGGCCCCATAGGGAGTTCCACCGAGAGCCCAGTGGCGGGGTCCGCCCGCGCCCGACACCCATTTCGGCACACCCCTCAAACGATTCGCGGCCCTATAGGGAGCTCTACCGAAGGCCCCAGTGGCAGGGTCCGCATGTGCCCGACGCCGATTTCGGCACACCCCTCACACGGTTCGTGGCCCCATGGGGAGGAAGCTCCACCGAGGGCCCCAGTGACAGGGTCCGCATGCGTTTGGCGCCCATTTCGGCACACCCCTCACACGGTTCGTAGCCCCACAGGGAGCTTAACCGAAAGCGGTATCCACAACGCGTTATTCACGACAGTGTATGGTTGGATCTTTCGTTTTTTGTTTAAAACATTGTATAGATGGTTAATTGTTTTCTAACACCCGCTTGTAAAAGGGCATGCCCGACCTAATTCTAGGCCTCCTAGATTGGGTCGGAGAAGATAGGGTCGGAGGATCGCGCCGCATCGCCGATGCATCGCCGATGCGGCTCGATGTGGGACCCTCTTTTCTCCACGCCGATGTCGCCGATGCATCGGCGATGCATCGCCGATGTACCGGCGATGCGGCGAGATTATCCGACCCCATCTTCTCGGACCCCATATAGGCGGCCTCTAGTTTGCGTCTGTTTCGGGGTTCCCGGAATCCGCAATACCAGTGTATTGCGTACTACTTTTAGTTGTTGATTTGTTTCATTCGAGCAAGGACAATCGCATAAACATGGTGCTGTATTCACTAGGCTCCGCGCTTATCTCTTGGACCTGCTCTGGACCCAGAGGACCCGCCTAGAGTCGGAATACGTGATGCTTCCTTAGCTCGTCCGGGAAAGAAGATGCGATAATTTCTGTCTCTGCGTGGGCACGCATCGGTGAACAGTTCCTGCTCATCCTTGTCCCCCCTCCTCCAAGGTCACAAAGGGGAGGACGATAATACCTTTTCACCGAGGAGGAGGACGAGGAGTTGGAGAAAGAGGAGAAGGAAGGGAGAGGGAAGTAATCAACTCGTCACCCTTCCAGTCGGCGGCGAGCCTGGGGAGAAGTGAGAAGGAGAAGGCCTTCTCAGAAGGCTCGGAAGTCCCCTGGCCTTCTGAGAAGCTCTCAGAAGCGCGAGGGCTTCTGAGAGCCCCGCCGCCTTTGAGATGGCCTTCTCCTTCTCGTTTCCCCCTCTCGCTCGCCGCCGAGATGAGAAGGAGGAAGAGGAGATGGAGGAGACGGAAACAATATACGCCGGTCGTTGAAAGTATGTATTGCGAAGGCCTTACGGCTGGTGCCGAAGACCATGAGGTTGGGGAGGAGGGCGCAGAGCATGGGGAGGAAGATGAGGAACGGGACAGGAGGAAGAGGTGGATGAGGAGGAGTAGGAGCGCAGGGGGGGAATGAACAGGAGGAGAGTGAGGCGAGCAGGGTCGCATGTACAGATGGAGGGGTGGGGGCACCAAGGAGGGGCAGAGGGGAGTAGAGCGTGGCCATCATGAGGAGGAGCAGGAGGAAGAGAATGGTGAGGATGTTGACGATGATGACGACGACGCTGGTTGCCTATCAGGACCATTCGGGGCGTCTTGGAGCCCTCCTGGGGCGACTCCCGGGCATCGTGGGCATCTGGGAGGCCACGGAGTATAGATTCGGAGGGCGCCGGGACATGGGCCGGGGCCGGGGGCCGCAGCGGGCGGGGCGCCAGGGCCGGGGCCGGGGCCGGGGCCGTGGCTGGGACTGTCGTTAAAAGTTTGTATTTCCCTACCTAGGCTCTGCCTAGAAGGGTTCTTACTCTCTTAGCTTAAAGGGGCCGGGCAGTGGAACACGCCCCGGGCGGTTCCCCCAGCTTTAGCTTTAGCTTTAGCTTTAGCTTTAGCTTTAGCTTTAGCTTTAGCTTAGCTTTAGCTTAGCTGTAGCTTAGCTTTAGCTTAGCGTTTCGCTTAGCTTTTCGATTAGCGTTTAGCTTAGCTTTAGCTTAGCTTTAGCTTAGCGTTTCGCTTAGCTTTAGCTTAGCTTTAGCTTAGCTTTAGCTTAGCTGTGGCTTAGCTTTAGCTTAACTTTAGCTTAGCTGTGGTTTAGCTTTAGCTTAGCTTTTGCTTAGCGTTACTGTTACTATTAATGCTGCTTTCCTAGGGGGTCCAACTCCTAGGTAGGGTCGCACTGGGATAATTTGGGATATCCAGATCCCAGCGCACTTCAAGCGTTTGCGTATTTCGAGGGTCAACAAGCAGGTGATCCTCCACCCTGCTCTTCAGGGGGCGGGCAGAAGCCCGGCCCACTGTCAACGCCCTCCTGCTTCCTGGTTCTGCCCTCTTCGTCACGACCGATCGGTAAGCCCGTTGCCCTCCCAGGTGCAGCTGGACGCCCTGGGCGACAACGACGCGCCGTTCCGGGACCACGGCGTGAAGACCATGTACACCTTCTGCGGCGGGGCTGGCCTGCTGGAGCCCCTTCCGGGCGTCGGGGCGCAGGTGGCGGGGTGTTCAGCCTTGGCGAGGGGCCGAGCGCCCGCGGACCCCCTCCCAGACCCCCTCTCGTTGTGGAGAAGTCAGCCCTTTTTTGGGGAGGTTTTAACATATTATTATTGTTATTATTATTAGTATTATCGTTATCATTATTATTATTATTATTATTATTATTCGTATTGTAATTACTATTAGTATTATTATTTTTATGTTTATTTGTTAGCATTATTGGTATTATTATGAATATGACCATTATTATTAGCAAAAGTATTATTATTATTATCAGTTATATTATATTATTATGATTATGATTATGAATATGATTATGATTATGATTATTAGTATTACTATTTTTAGTATTAGTATTGTCATTCGTATCTGTATTATTATTCGAATTATTATTATTAGTATTATCAGTATCGTTATCATTTTTATTATGACTTTTATCAATATTATTATTATTAGTATTATTATTTGCATGTTTACCATTATTGAAATTATTATTATAAACAACAGAAAAAGTGGAACAGCTCACTTGCACGGCGCGCGGTCCCCCCCCCTCCCCATCGCCCCTCGTCGAGCGAACACTCGCGTGCAAGTGCCTTTCGGCTTGCTTCGGGTTCGTTCCCCCCTCCGCCCATGCCAATCAGCTTGCCGGAGTCTGGAAAAGCAGGCTCCTCCCAGACCCCTTCGCGTTGTGAAGATGTCACGACGGGAGGTTTTCCGCTATGTTCGCCTTTCGGGGCCCCTTACTGGGCCTCGGGACCGTCAAAAAGCGACCCAGGATGAAGAATTGGTCTAGGGGAATGGGTCCACACCTGTGGGAGTCGACGTTGTGAAATAAACGCGACGTCGGGGGTCTGGGCTCCGGCTGGCCCCGCTTTGGGAACCGTGGATCAAGCAGTGGCGTAGCATCCCAGGGTGCCTATAGGCTCGCCAAATCATGTTCTAAGAACTGTTTGTGGTTAGCACGGCATGGTTTTGGAAACATTTCTGGCTATAACCGTTTTGTTTGCATCATAAGGTCTGATGCTCTAAGAACTTTGGTTTGGTTCTTGGAGCACTCTTCGTTCAGAGAAAGTTTCGTGGTAGGCCGACTGGAATGCCAGGACGGTCGGTCCTTCCTCAAATGTGGGGCTGGATTTGTCTCCCCTCCCTCCACCGGATGGTTTTCTAGACGTTTGGCCGCTTGGGGCTCAGAGCTAGGCCTCCCTCCGCTGGGCAGGGTGGCGGCACTTACAAGCGTACCCCCCTCGGTTCTCGGCTTGAATGCCTTCAGCAAGACGGCGCGCAGACAGCTGCCGAGTCCGACCGACCGGATGCTTTGGGAGCTTCTTCTCGTGGCCGGCCCCGATTCGGGACACGGCTTTGGCTGAGCCAGGTCCGCGACGACCCGTCCCCGAGGGCGGAGGCAGCATGGACGTGTCTACACGTGCCGGGCTCTCCAGCGGGATCTTGGGCGTCTTCCACGATCGGACTGTCGAAACGAAGCTTGTTCCTCTTTCTGGCTCTTCCCTCCTCCTCCTGCCTCCTCCTCCTCCTCCTCCTCCTCCTCCTCCTCCTCCTCCTCCTCCTCCTCCTCCTCTCCGTAACCATTTTGGCTCAAATCCGGAGCAAGCGGCTCAGAGACCTTGAGAGTGGCAAGGGGGAGGTGCGCCCCCCCTGCGATCCCTGAGCCTTGCGTTCAGGAACCTTTTTTTGTTGCTCCTAACGGAGCATTACTTCCCCATGCTCAAATATGTGTGCCAGCGGGCACGATGGCTTTCGCGTGTGAGCTCCTGTCGGAGCCCATGGAAAAGCAGCAGGACGCAAACCACTACATCTCTTGCGCGTCTTGTCGACACCGGGGAGAATTGTAAGTCCAGGGCGTTCTGCTTCCAATGCAACGCCACGCTCGCCCTACATACTTGTACTATTTGTGCGTCGCCCCCCCGGGGACGATGCGCGCACCGAGAAACCTCGGAGTAGATGCGTCGTGGCGGGCGCTTTCTGGCCACACCGCTCGGGAAACGATATGCTACAGGATGGGTGTACCAGATGGTCGGGTCGGACGCGTGCCTCCACGGAGGACGCATAGCATTAGCATGCCCCTGTGCGTCCCCTGGGCGGGCTCGGGCGGGGCCCCGGGCCGAGGAGGCTCGGGCCCGCAGCTCGGCTAGAGGCGGCCTGGCGGCCCGCTTGCCCGCCCGGCGAGCGGCGATAAAGCCCGGGAGCCGCCCGCCCGCGAGGCCCCGAGGCTCTCCGCGCCGCCACCGCGGGGGGGCGGCGGCTGCGCCGGGCGGCTCTTGGTGGCGGTCGGCCTCCTCGCGCAGTCCATCAGAGGAGGAAAAAAGGTACCCATACCTCTACAGTCGGGGCGTTGACCTGAGGAGCCCTAAATAGGGAACGAGGCCCCTCTTCTCCAGAAATTGAGTTTCGATCTTCCATGCAAAAACCGGAGGGAAACCCGAGGCAGACTGTTAAACGATCAAGGAACACCGAGCCCCTCTCCAGCGAAAAGGGTTCCTTCTTCAGCGCCCCGACTGTAGCCTCCCCTCGTTTCCCCTTTTTTGGGGGGGCCTCCCGGGCCTCCGTCGTCGCCACCGCTGGGTTCGCCTCGACCTCCTGGTCAGAACGCACCCCAGGAGAGGTCCCGGGAGTACAGTGAGCGGCTTGAGTAAGGAACACTTACTTTTCAAAAGGGGCTCGGTCGTTCCTTAGATTTTACATGCGTTATTTGCAGTTCCTCATGCGTTATGCATTATTTATCGTTCCTTGTGCGTTATTCCTTGGGATACTCGTTCCTTATTTATCGCTTCTTAGGTCAACGCCCCGAGTGTAGCGGTATCGGCACCTTGTGGTTTCCCCAGTCCGAGCAGCGGCTCGGCGACGAAGCCGGGGTTGCCGAGCTCGCTCGAGGGTGCCATCGGGCCGCCGCAGCAGCCAGCCAAGCCGCCCATTGGCCGCCCCTCCTGGAGGCGGAGCTGTCGGCGACGGGCGTCGCTTGCCGCCGTGCGGAGGCATACTTCGGCCAGTGCGTGGCCTTGCGCTCTATCCGCGGCACATTGCCTGAAAGGTAGAGACGCTTGTGCGTGCACGCTCGGCGCACCGAGAGGCCGCTGAACTTCGTGACTGGGTAAGGAGCCCAAGAAAAAAAAGAAAACAAAAGAAAACTTCGGCCAGTGCGTGGCCAAAGGGGACGAGGCGCGAGCCTGGCATGAGGAGTGTCGAGTGGCGGCGGCGGCGGCGGCAGAGGCGGCGGTCAAGGCCAAGCAGGCGTGGCAAGCCCAGCGGCAGCACGCGCTCGGCAGGGCTGGCGGGCGCTCTGGTCAGACCAGCACGCCCTCGGCCTAGGCGATCCCCACGGGCTCGCAGATCAACCTGTCGCAGCTGCTCAAGGCTGAGTCTGAGATCGATTCTGTGGGGATCGTCGACGGAGACCTGCTCGATCTCACAGGCCTCGGGGTGGAAACGGCGGATCGGAAGCGCTGGCTCGGCCTCAAGGCCAGCATGCAAAAAGGGAGATCCAGAACGCTATCCTGTCTGTCATCGGCCCCAGTTCAGAGAACATCCAGAGATTGCGGCAGGAGGCCAGAGAGACGCGCCAGCGGCTCTCCGCCAAGCGCGCCAGGAGGGAGGAGCCAGCCGTCCCCCCTGTCGCAGCAGAGGGCGCTGGCACTCCCCCTCCCGCCGATGGCGCCTCTGACGTCCATGGCGGAGGCGGTGGCGCATCCGGCGGAGCGGCCTCTTCCTGCCGCAAGCGCAGTTGCCCCAGCCGGTGGAGCGGTGTGGCCACGCCCGCCCGCGATCCGACAGCCGCGGCCATCCACGAGCCTCGGCAGCGGGCCGAGGCCGAGACCGGCCTCCACCGAGACGCGCAGTGGAAGGGCCCCCCCCGCCTCCACGGGGGGCCGCCGCGGCCCGACCCGGACGGGGCCAGGCGGGATGTTTGGGCCGCGGCGCTTGGCTGGAGTGCGCAGCGGGCGTGGAGCCTGGCGGGGCCGACGTTTTTTTGATCAGCGGCTGTGGCTGGGTTGGTGCGGGGCCTGGCGCGCGGAGGTCCTGAGGCGGCCTGCCGGCGGGGAGCCGGCGGCGGCGTTCGCGCGGCGCTGCAGCTCTGCGACGGGGCTCGGCCGAGCCGCTTGTTCTTCGACGCGAGGCCATCACCGAGGCCACCAGGTTCAATCAACGCGATGAGGCCGTTGACGCAGGCCGCGAGGGATGAGTTGGCCCGCCATCCCTGGGACCAGTTGCAGGGTATCATTGACATGTTCAGGGCGCCGCTGGACCGCCGCAGGCGGACTGTTGCCTTCGGGGCGCGCGGCCGTCCTTGGGGGGCCAGTCGGCCATGGGCCTGGGCAGGCCCTAATGGGAGGGGGTGGCGAGCTTGCGTGGGAGGCCGCAAACGCGCGGGCGGTCGACGCCCCTGCATCCTTACCGCGCATCCTTATGATACCGGCCGACTGTCTTCCGCGCGCACCGCCCTCGCCTCGCAGTAGGCGCCCGTGGAGGGGCGGATCCCGCCGTGGTGCCGCTGTGAAGCTCCACCGGGCCCCGGCCCCTGGTCCGGCCGCCTGGGCGCCTCGCCGCGGGGGAACCCGCCGCCGCGGCTGCCGCGCCGCAGCACGCTGTCTTGCGCCTCGAGCGCCTGGCCGCGAGAGCCCGCCTCCGAGAACGCCACGCCGTCGGCGCTGTCCAGGAGCGCGGCGTCGCGCCCTGTGAGATCTGAGGATCTGATGTAAGCAAGCCGGCGGTTCTGTCTGGATTTCGGCCTCCGGGGCCCGCTATCGGGCCCCAGCGCGATCAAACTTGGATCCGGGACGACAAACCACTCCCTGGGAAGGGGTCGGGACCTCCGTGGGGCCGCGGATGGAAGACATCGCATCGGCGGATGTCAGGGGGCAAGCTTGGGTCGACCCTTCCCGTGCTCGTCCTCGCCGCGCACCTCGTCCGGCGCTGCCGAACGGGTTCGGGGCGCGAGGAGCTCCTCCGCGGGCCCGTCGCGCTCTGCGATCAGCGCTTCCATCGATCCTCGACTCGAACCGCTGCGTCGGGGCGTCGCCGGCAGCAGTACCCTCCCGCGGCTGCCCCGAACGCGAGCTCCTCCTCCTCCTCCTCCTCCTCCCCCTCCTCCTCCCCTCCTCCTCCTCCTCCTCCTCCTGCCTCCTCCTCCACTCCTCCTCCCCCTCCTCCTCCTCCTCCTCCTCCTCCTCCTTCTCCTCCTCCTTCTCCTCCTGGAACCCCTTGTCCGTCTCCACGGCCTGGGGGTCGTTCTCCTCCTCCTCCTCCTCCTCCTCCTCCTCCTCCTCCTCCTCCTGGGACCCCTTGTCCGGCTCCACGGCCTGGGGGTCGTGGAGGTCGCCGTCCACGGCCTCCAGCACAAGCGTCGCCGCCACCTTGGTCCGTTCCCGGGGCCTGGGGGGCTGGGGGTCGGGCACGGCGCGGGGAGGAGGGGTTCACAAGGCAGGCGCCTTGTGTGCGCGTCCCCCGCGTTCCCGTCCACCGCCATGCCTGGCTTCGCCCCCCCGCGCCACTGTCACGCCGGGGGGGCCCGCGGCGCTGCTCCCTGCGCGCCCACGCTGGGAGTCAGGGCCGCCGCTTCCACGCTACAAGGCGTGCTTGGACGCTTTGTACACCGCGTGCGCGGCGACGAACTCGGCGTGCTGCTGCGCCCGCAGCTCCGCGCCCACGAGGCCCATGCCCCGCTGCAGTTCCTGCTCGATGCTCGCCGCCGCCTGACCGCCGACGCCCCCCAGGCATCGAGGCGGGCACAGGGGTTCTCGTGTGTTTCTCCACCCTGTCGCTGCGCGCAGGGCCGTGACGCCAAAAGTGTGTGTGTGTGTACGTGTGTACGTGTGAGCGTGTGTGTGTGTGTGCGTGTGTGTATGTGTGTGTGTGCGTGCGTGTGTGCGTGCGTGCGTGCGTGCGTGCGTGCGTGTGTGTGTATTTGTGCCTGTGTCTGTGTATGTGTCTGTGTCTGTGCTTGTGCCTGTCTCTGTGTGTCTGTGTGTCTGTGTGTCTGTGTGTATGTTCTGCCTGTGTGTCTGTGTGTGTCTGTGTGTGTCTGTGTCTGTGCGTGTGTGTGTGTGTCTGTCCGTCTGGCCGTCCGTCTGGCTGTCTGTCTGTCTGTCTGTCTGCCTGCCTGCCTGTGTGTCTGTCTGTCTGTCTGTCTGTCTGTCTGTCTGTCTGTCTGTCCGTCTGTCTGTGTGTATGTGTGCGTGCGTGTGTGTGTGCTTGCGCGTGTGTCTGGTGTGCGTGTGCGTGTGCCTGGTGTGTGTGTGTGCGTGTGTGTGTATGTACGTGAGCGTGTGTGGTGCGTGTACGGGAACGTGCGCGCGTGTGTGTGTGTGTGTGTGTCTGTGTCTGTGTCTATGTCTGTGTCTGTGTCTGTGTCTGTGTCTGTGTGTGCCTGTGTGTGCGGGTGCGCGTGCGCGTGCGCGTGCGTGCGTGCGTATGTGAGTGTGTGTGTGTATGTGTGTGTGTGTGTTCGTGCGTGTGTGTGTGTGTGTGGTGTGCGTGTGCGTGTGCGTGTGCGTGTGTGCGTGCGTGTGCGCGTGCGCGTGCGCGTGCGCGTGTGTGTGTGTGTGTTTGTGCGTGCGCGTGTGTGCGTGCGTGCGTGGGGGGGGAGACCTGGTGTCGGCTACGTTCGGCACGCGTGGAGGGTCGGACTTCGCGCGCTTCCACAAAGGTTGACAATTTTCTTTCATCAACAGCCGTGATCGACTCTACCGCTGATTGGCTCGCTAGCGCGAAGGGGAAAAATCTGCGGAGTGGGGGCCGGTCCGCTTGGGTCAAACCGGGCCCCTTCAGGAGCTACACGAGTACTTCGGCTACAAGAAGGACGGAGCAGAGAAGCCGTTCGCCCTGACCCCTCCCCTCACCAGTCCAGCCCCCCAGGCCGTCCCTTCGAGCTGTCCCCCTCCCGCCCTCCTTCTATCCTCGCACCCTTCCCCCCCCCCCCTTTCCCGCCGCAGAGGGGGGCGGGCTCCCTGGTCGGCGGCTGGCCTTCTTCGCCCAAGCCCCCGAGTGCCCCAAGTTACGCACGCACCGGCGAAGGCGGAGGTAGAGAGCAAGTGCCCTCATCGGCCGCGCCTTCCCCCGATGGGTGCTGGGAGGGCAGGGGGCGTGGGCAGAAGCGCCCTTCGCCGCGCTGGGACACCTCGGCCCCGGAGGATCTGTATCACGAGGAGCACTTCTTTGGCAGGTTCAAGTCGACCTTCGCGAAGCTCATCGGGCACCGCGGCTACACGATCGACTCTTCGGAGGAGACCGCGGAACAGCAGCAGCACGTCGGCAGGCGTCTTGTCAGGTTTG